AGTCTCAAGACAATATCTTTCAACTCGTCCTCTGTGTAAAAATTTTTTCTACTAAATCATCTTTAATTCAACACTCCTTTTGAAATACTATTACTTAGGATGCTTCAAGTACAGTTTGGTCATATATGGTATTTTACTGAAAATGATTTTTGAACGTATGGCTTTTAGTTGAAACAGTTCTGTCAGTGTGTTCCAGCAGAGTGTTGTGCAGAAGCAGGGGGTTCATACCCGTGTGGTCCACAGGGAGGAATCCCTGCTGCATGAGTAGATGCTTCAGGTACTCATCATCCACTGGGATCTCAGACACCATGTTACTTGGCACATAACCGGAGAGACCACCGGACTCCCCGTCATAGAAACCATCACAGTCTTTGTCTCCAAACACCTAACAGATGCAGAAACAGGCGTTTGGTTAAAACAAGTGAATGTGTGTGTATTTGCATGTTGCAACAGTTTTCAGCTTCAGTTATAAGGAGGCAACATTTAAAAACATTGACAGGAAACAGAAAAAAAAGCTCACGTCTTTGCACACTTTCATGTGGCCTGAATCTACAGCACAAACAGGAAACATCATCACGCTCTTTCAAAGAAGCTGATGCAATGAGAAAACACAACTCAAACTGAACTGTTCACTACAACGTGTAACTCGGACATGAAATTACAAAGGTAAGCGACGTCACATGGGTTTTACCTTGATTATCTGTCCTGGTACAAAGGGCAGCTCCTCTGCAGCGGTCTCATAGTTGGGAGACATTGCAGCAGGGTTGTATGGGTAAAGTGCCACAAAGAGTCGCACGGTGGGTATGGACACCTGGCTCGCAGTCTCAAGCTCCCATTCCCTGAGATCCTCTGGAGTGGCAAGCCTCACTTCATTGGGGTAAATCAAAACATCCAGCTCCAGCCTCGTCTCCATTGACAGCAGCTTGACCGCTCGACTGTCCACTTGGCAGACAGATGGCGGCTGTAGACAGAAGACCTCTCCTTACCCTTATCCTAATTTGAAGTAACTCAGCTAAGCAGAAGGACCAGTAATCCTCTTTGAAGGAAGTGGACATTGATTAGTTCAGCACTGCCTGTTGCACTACAAGACTGTACGTGCAAAGTAATGGGAGCAACATTTTTTCTGTATCGTTATCATTATGTTATATTATTTTATTAGGCTGCTTCTAACCGACATGTGGATACTGAGAGATGTCCTCATTTGTCTGTTAACAGATGCTTCAGCAAGAATTTGCTTTAGGCCTCCACTGATATGAGCCTCCAAGCTCCCGTTAGATTCCACCACCAACTCTCTAAATCAATATTATTTTGGTAAGGACACTTAGCCTTTAAGTCTTAGTTTGTGATAATTACACTTGTACATATGTCTCCAAACTGTTTCTGTCACTAAATATCCAACTAGAGGCCTTATATTGTATATTTATATGGCAAACAAGTCTTTCAACTTGTTTGCCATATTTGTGTCTCTGTAACTTTTAGTTCTGTGTCTTCTTCACTCATTCTGACTGTTTGGTTGTAAATAAAGGGTTAAAAGAGTTGAAGAACAGTAACCTTTGTGTTTGATGAATAGCTAGTAATGAAGGGTGCTAAACAGAATTGTAACGAATCAATTTCCCCCAAAAATAGTTGACTTTAAATGAGAAATAGACTGATAAAAGTAATAGAATACATTGACGCATAGGGATACTTTCAGATTTTATGCATAGTTTCAGGTCTTATAGGCCTGACTTCGTCTACTCGGTAAGAAATAAAATACTCAAGCAACAAAAAAACAGAAGAGTAAAACTAATTATCCTTCTATAGATCAACTACTATAGGTACAATATTCATATGTGATTAAGTGTGAGGGAGCAGCGATTTTATAAAAATTTTTTGGAACCAACTCTTTCTGTCAGTGACTTGACCCAGTTTACGTGTGGCTGAAAGTCAGCACTTCCTTTCTTGAACTCAGAGCAGGTCAGCAGGTGATAATCTCCTGCTGCGGAGGAAGGGAAAGGTTTAACGAATCAGTGTGTGTGTGTGTTGGTTTATACGTTTTCTACTTGACACCAAGTGTTTGCTTTAAGAAAATAAAATCTATCGCTGTTCAAGTTGGTTCCTTCATTTGTATCTTAACTGTAATTCTAATTTAAGTTGACTCACCCCTCGGCCTTTGGTTTTATTTATCTCATAGGGGAAATGCCGACAATCGTCCCAAAATGAATAAATAAAGTTGAACTGTATTGAATTGTCCTCTGCCCCTGAGGTTATTCTAGGTCAGAGCTTCTAACCTGATAATGGTCTCTTGGTGAGAAAACATCTTACCATAGAACATCCCATCCTCACAGACTTTCACTTCCATTTTTGTCCAGAAGAGGACGCTGTAAGCTACTTTCTCTTCATCTACTACTTCCTCTATATCTATATCTAAAGTAACTCCTACAGCTAAGTTGCTAAAGGACTCTATGCAAAGATTTGAATGACTCATTGAGCTGACCAGATTCCTATGGAGTAGAGGAATTATTTAGATCTTTTTTTAATTAAAGTAACCCTTTTTAAAAAAGTACCCCACAAAAATGTGCTCTGGGCCTCCACTGATACGATCCTCAAAGCTCACGTTAGGTTCCACAGCCAACTCTGACAGGCTCTGTCTCCAGAGACTGAAAATGAGCACCAATTTCAACCTGTGGAGCTGGTTCCAGGTAAAATTCAGAGTTTCATCGTGATATAAGTCCCTAGTGCAACAGCAATGTAGCCTCACTGACGTATTTGTAATGATTCTTTAGCAAATATTTTAACTCAATTGCACAGAAGAAAAATCTTGATCTGGTTTTGGATGCACTCGTTGTTGGTTTGTGTCTTTACATTGGATTTATTGACAACTTCTACCTTCAATAAATATGAATCATTCTGGAACATCATTTCCAATTCAGTGCAAAGAAGTACAGCTTTGCAATTGTGTTAGTCATTATATAGAGAAGCTCTGAAACTGCACTTTTCTCCACCACCTCAAAATGAGTTTTCATAGATCATCAAATTCTATATTTGACTGCAAATTGATGTATTAAAAAATATACAAAACAAACATGAATAAATATAAAGACTGCTCCTGCTTCTTCTTCTATTTCTTAAACACCAGCAGCAAACTGATGTACGAGCAAAGTGGTTCACATAAAGGTGGTGTCATTAATATCATTAATATTAAACAAAGCACTAATTTGCAATATGCTTTATGTGAGACTGTACCTTGCATGTAAACCTGCTTCTTTACCATCAACTTCTTGTTCTTCACTAGCCTGTGAGCTTGTTTTAAACAGCAGGCTGCGTTTGACACATTTGGCACGTCAGCTTTGGCCTTTTTCAGCTTCACTTCCCTTTTCTGTTCTCCACCAGGTCTTTTCATTCTCCCCTTCCTCACTTACATCCCGTGATGTCATTCAAATAATGTGTGACGTTCTGCGTCATCATGCTTAATACAAGTCGGTCATGATTAAGTTAGCCTACATCTGGAAGCTGTAGTGTCATTCTCTCTTTTTAAAGAGATTATGTCGCTGGTGCTTTCAGCAGAACAAGCAGAACAACCAACCAACAATCTTCCCATGCCTCCTGACTGTCCACTCTGAGTCTCCATGGGTTAGCACCTGGCAAATCTGCAGAAATGATGTGACGTCATGATGCCAGCATGAACCAGGACCTCAGAGGAATGTTTCCAATGGGCTGTGAAATGTATTCCACAAAGATCCAAGGCCACACCCATGATGAGAACAGTTCTTTTAGTGCTCAGAGAGTACAGATTCTATAGGCCTCCCTATGATCAGTCTTATCAGGCTCCTGACTGCTCCTGGCTGCAGTGTGGCACACAGGACTCCATTTCCCACAGGGCCTTTCGCCCAGAGCTGCTCCCTTGCACCCATCCGTCCCTGTACGCCTGGCCCCTCTGGTTCCCATGTACGGGGTGTTACATCACTGGGACAGACACCCACCTTTCTGAGAGATGACGCAGCTGAGGGAGAGTGAGCGAGGAGGAAGGGAGGAGGGAGGGAGGAGGAAGGGAGAGAGAGAGAGAGAGGAGAGGGTGTCCCGTCTGCGCGGAGCATAGACAGACAACAGGGAACAGCTGCAGCGTGAGGCTCGCGTAGGATTTCACTGCATTGCGATTGAAAATATCAATCATTTCATCCCCAAAAAGCCGAGTAGAAGCGGCTCTGCACAGCAACCAAACCTCATCCACAAACATGGTCGACCGCGAGCAGCTGGTGCAGAAAGCCAGGCTGGCTGAGCAGGCTGAGAGATACGATGACATGGCTGCAGCTATGAAATCGGTAAGTTCATTCAGAAATCATCGTGAATATGACACAGACGCGTGTGAAGTGTGTGTTATTTAACCGCTGCTCTGCTGTGCGTAAAAGGCGCGTCCAGCTGTCTCCACCGCTGAGTTTGTGGCTGGGTCTCACTCGAAATTACCGCACTAAACAAGCAAGGATCACAGGAAAATGTTATAATCAACGTGTTAATTATCTTCTCCCGACTTCATCCACAGCCCAGTGTGTTTTATTTTATTAGTTTTCTGACGAGGAGAGTCCAAATCGTCTGCTCCTTGGGCGGTGCCTTTCTGTCAAGGCACTTTACAATGAAAACGCGCACGGGCCTGATCTCGATGCCTCAGTTAATAAGGGGGCTCTTATCATATAATGGTCCCTGCTCCATTGTATGTGCTGCGCCCCCCCCCCCCCCCCCCCCTCCACTTTTGTCACCCCACCTCCCCTCCTTCCATTATACTGAATTTATCAGCGCCTCTGCTGCTTGGAGCCATGTGAGGTAGGTTGCTCGGAAAAAGCCTATCAACTGCTGCTACCCCCTCCTCCTCCTCTTCTTCTTCCACCTCCACCTCCTCCTCATCCTCCTCCACCTCCTTTCTTTGTCACATTAATTAAAATGATATGCATTATCAGCATCTGCCTATGTATCCCTGTAGAATACAAGACTTCATGTGCTTCACTCAAAGAAAGAAATCCCCCACAAAAGGAGTCTTGAAGCTGCTCTTTCCTCCAAACAAACGTAGGAGGCAGTAGAATCTCTCTAGAATATTCTTTGTCATATTGCAGTGAGTCAGTATGATCAGATTTGATTGTAGCCTTTGTTTCCACCTCGCTCGTCCACTTTATTCCTCATATTTCTCCACGTCTCAATCTGGGGATATATGCACATTCCTCCTGATATCCAGCAGCAATTCAACACCATTGTGGGTTAATGAGTCTGATGAAGTTTTGTTGTATTGGAGGCATAGAGGGCGATGGGTGGCCTGGCTGTAGCAGAATTCTCAGCTCTTTTTTGTCAGCGGACATAGCCCTGTCTGTTTTTCCTCTTCTTTCTTTTTTTCTTCTCCTTCCTTGTCTGTCCCCTTAAGAAATTCTGGGAGCTTGATTCACCAGTAGGTTAAAAAAAACTGCTGTGTCACACCAGCTCATACTGGAACCAATTGCACCCTGGGAGTGGCCCAGTTTGAGGTCACGTATGATCAGAAACCATCATATGTTCTTTAAAGAGGAAGAACATTATGTCTTAAGCTCCTCAGGAGAGATGGAGCGAGTCCCCCGTGGATCGTTTGTCATCGAGGGTTTCTGGTTGCAGGAGGTGGGATGATGTGTGTGCAGAGAGGGATTCCTTTCCCTTTAAACAATCTGCCATGTCAGTGCGGTCCAAACTGGGCCCTTTTGCAGGGGTGTGTTCTCTTATTCTCTAATCAAAGGGAATCCCTTGCCATTGCGGCCAGTTATGACAAAAACGAAAGGCTGTCACCTTTGTGTTCCTCAGGATCAATATGTCTGGATTATTTTCATGTCAACAACCTTTTATGCAGCATTATAAGGACATGCTAAGGTGGCAGCTAACAGTTATTTCCCATGGTCATCTCTCATATCTTCATTTGTTTATCCAAAACTCAGATTTTTTTTGCCAACTCTTTGTACAAAATATGCGCCTTTATGAAGCAAAAACTTTTTTTTCTATTTCCCATAATAAAACCCTGATTGATTATTAATTTTGTGGCCTATTTATTTTCTGTCAAACAGCTAAATTGGTAATCAGCTAATATTTCCGCTCTAGATTACATGTTAGTGTTTAGCTATTGATCGTTATTGTTTTGTATTATAAATTATTGTCAGCTAAGAATATGATATATATCTGTGTCAGTCACATCCATCCATCCAGTCTCATCAGTAAATCATCACAACTCGAAGCGGCACAATATGCTTCCTAATAATCACTTAATTATATTTAATGATGTATCGGTCATTAGTGTAATAGAAATCTGCTTCCTTTTACGGTAAATGTCACACATATTGATGTGTGCTTCAGTTTTTTGAAAGACAGATGAAGGCCACTCCATCTCTACAGGTTCAACCCTCCTCTTCATCCACTCAGCTGTGTGACGTCGGCGATCCTGCACCATCTTTGTGCTCCTCTGTCTGAGCAGAGAATGTCAGAACTGAGAAATGTGAAACGTTTGCACATCAGGGAGATTTTCAGATTAAAAACACCCTCAAGGTTAAAATATTAGAAGCCTATTTCTATCAGTATATTTCAGTGCAGTCATTGATCTGACAGGAGCCATGTTCCAATGCTGGGCTGCTGTTCCAATCAAATAAGCCTGAGTGATGTGTCCTTTTTATAGCAACGCACGCTCTTTGACGACTACCTGACTGTCGTGCAGATCAGTCAAAATCTAAATTTAACAATCGAGCTGGGTGTGATGTCATGGTGTGGTGTTTTATACAGGTAAAAAGGTCAGTTACAGCCAGAGAGAAGGTCACTGGGACACGTTAACCGCCTGTGCAGTGATGGTTTTCATTTACAGTGCAGCTGCCCCTCAAGTGCTTGTGGGAACATTTTAGCCACCTCCAGCCCTCCTTTCACCCACTACCCCCACCCCCACCCACCCTTCTTCCTGTCCCAACCTCCCCCCGCTGCTGCCGACTATCTTGAATATCATTTCTCACTAGCTAGCATAAGCTGTTGTCCACGTGACAGCTGGAGCTACTGGTGCACTAAATGAATGGATTGCCATGGAAACTGGGAATTGTACATGACAAGTGAAATATTGCTCATCTTCTGTCTGCTGCGGACTATAGCGTTACTCCAGATCCTTTCATGCACAAACACTGTGTTTTGTTATAATTGGGGCTGAATGATGATAATTGTTATTTTCATCATTGTTTTATATTTCGATAATTTTCTTTATTACTTGGTTAGATCATTGGTTTGTGAGGAAAAGTGTATACTGTATTCCGGAGGTGAATGTGACTTCCTTTGTACATTTTCTTGGGATTTTTACGGCTCACAGACAGTTGGACTCTATTCAAGGGCGTTGCAGTTCATGGTTGGCGTATTAACCCCCAAGCTGCAGGGACGGAGATGTCCCTTTAGCTATTGCAGTTTTTTTGGTCCAAATTTTAAAACAAAGAAATATAGCTAAAACACTTGATTTAGTGAAGCTGGTGTATTCAGCTGTTATGGCTTAAATAGCTGCCAATGTATTTTCTGTTGTTCCATCAATTGTTTAAAAAATAGTAATAATGCTTTTCGCACATTAAATGTTCTTATATCGATTGTCTATAATGTATATCCAGTGTAGTGTTGTTTCAGCTCCTAATTTTTGGCTAAATGTTCCATTTTCCCCGTCTTCCAGGTAACAGAGCTGAACGAGGCCTTGTCCAATGAGGAGAGGAACCTCTTGTCTGTGGCTTACAAGAACGTGGTTGGTGCCCGCCGCTCCTCCTGGAGGGTGATCTCAAGCATTGAGCAGAAGACCTCAGCCGATGGCAATGAGAAGAAGATTGAGATGGTTAGGGCCTACCGGGAGAAGATTGAGAAAGAGCTGGAGGCCGTGTGCCAGGATGTGCTCAACCTCCTGGACAACTTCCTGATCAAGAACTGCAGCGAAACACAGCACGAGAGCAAGGTGTTCTACCTGAAGATGAAGGGCGACTACTACCGGTACCTGGCTGAGGTGGCCACAGGCGAGAAGAGAGCCACCGTGGTGGAGTCGTCAGAGAAGGCCTACAACGAGGCCCATGAGATCAGCAAGGAGCACATGCAGCCCACCCACCCTATCCGCCTGGGCTTAGCTCTCAACTACTCTGTGTTTTACTACGAGATCCAGAACGCCCCGGAGCAGGCCTGTCATCTGGCCAAGACCGCCTTCGACGACGCCATCGCCGAGCTCGACACCCTCAACGAGGACTCCTACAAAGACTCCACTCTCATCATGCAGCTGCTCCGAGACAACTTGACACTGTGGACAAGTGATCAGCAGGATGACGAGGGAGGGGAGGGCAACAATTAAAGAGAAACCACACTTCGAAAAAAAATATGAAGGGCCGGTGGACTTTGGCAGCCGCTTTTGCCGATGATACTACCGCAGCAGCAGTTCTTTATTTTTCCATGTGTTAAAAGAAAAGAATCAAAAGAGAGGTGAGAGTGGAGGTTAAATCTTAGTTTAAATATATATAGAAATATATATACAGTTGAAAGGGGCCTCCGTCTTCTTGATTTTCTCTTTGACATTTGCCAAAACCACTGATATGTCAGTCAATCAGCCTGAAGTGGTTGTTGTTGGATTGAAATGGCAGCCTCACACTGGCATAGGAACTGATCTTGTTCTGTCAAGATAAGCTGCTTAGTTAGGTTTTCGTGTGATAGAGATGCATTTGAGTCACTTGAGAGAGAAAATGCTTGAATGGGAATGCCTCACAAAAACTAGTTTGCATTCATTCCAGCAGTTGTCTCCATACAGTATGAGAACGGGCCCTGAAAGGAATGGATGTTAAACTCACACCAACACTGAGAAAAAAGAAAAGTTTCAAACTGATAAAAATAAAAAATCTAATTAAATATCCCCCAAATTTTAAAGGATAAATTACATGGGAGCGTTAATTAAGAATGTTTAGATAAAACTGATACCCCTCCTTCTGTCTAAAGTGTATTTGGCATCTCACAGATTAGTCTGTTTAGTCACTGGAACCATAGATTCTTTTGGAGGTGAAGATTATTAAAGGCAGAGACTTAACGATATAAAACGATAAAAAAAAAAAACAAGACAAAAAATGAAAATAAAAGCAGCTTCAGAGTTTGTGGTTTACTTCTGTGTTTGTTTTATTAAATGCACTTGCCTACAATACTGTTTCTTCAGTGTACGATGATGACAACAATAATATCGATTATTCAATATTGTGCATGCTGGTGATGTATTTATATACAGTAGCTTGACTTTATTAACTTATACTGTGCGTGTTAAGTATTCATATGATTGAGAAAACAGGCTTTGTCTGATGTTGATTTCTAATTTATTTCATTTTATGGTTTTTGATTTGCTATACCAAAATGGTGATCGTAAAATTGACACTGTAATGGGCGTTGCTATAGTGACATGCAATAGGTGTATTTAATTTGTTAATAAAAGGAAAAAAAAAGGAAAATAAAAACCCACCAGTGATCACTTAATCTTACCAGCTGGTGTTTGTCACGATGACGTATGATTATGATATATTTTGTTCATTGAACAGTATTTCAGTACTTTTTTCTGTCATGCTATCCAGTTTTGATGATGGTGAAGTTTTCAGGCTCAATGTTTCTGTTATGATTCACAGACATGGACCATATTTTATTTCTGACAGTATACATTTTTTTTGTTTGTTTGTTTTTATACCTTTTAGCTGTTCCTGAGTGACAAAATATCTTGAATGTGAGTCATTATGTAGCAGTTGCACAAGAACCGAAATAATAGCTATGATAATAAAAAAGAATATGACTAAATTATACATGCACCATTTCTGTGGTGGTCTAGTGTATTGTTGTACTGTCACCCATAAGTACATTTGTTTTTAAGGGAAAACCATTTCATTGAGAACATGTTTTTAATGCTTTGTTTTGTGCCCTAAGTACAGTATGTGCTTTTTCTTTTTGTGCCTGTATTATTATTTAATATGCCTCATTTGCAACTTAACCAGAAAAAATATATATATCTGCCAGTATTTTAAGTTCATGCAAGCATGTGTGCAAGATGTAACGCAACATTTTCCCATCAGTGGTTCAATGTGTCTGCTCTCTGTACAGCACACACTGTAGATATGAATATTCAACACCAATGCACAAATACAGTCACAGAGAAAACACAGGCGATTCACTAGAATTGGTTATTGATTAGTCAAATGCGAGAATTCACAAAACAAACATTTAGACACTACAGGAGGCTGCGCAAGAGCACAGAAAGCTGCTGAACTGATTTATCTTCATAATGCTGCTAGTTCTATAGATGATTATATTAATATATTCAGAGGGCAGGTTATTTTTCCTTATTAATGGCAGTTTAAGTGGACAGTTTTACTTTTTCTTCAGACGTGATTAAGAGAGAAACCAAAAGCCTTAAGGTCAGTCACACACCCTTCATGTTTGCCAATTATGTCACCATCATGAGTCAGCCTCCATGAGCTCACATCTATGTCACAGCTGCTTTGATTTATTTTTAACATCGTATAAGGTTGGCGGTCTCGAAGGCTCTCCTGACGATTCACATAAGATCCCAATGCCAAACTGCTCACACAGCTTATGAGTATTGGAACAGAGTTGAATCCTGTACGATTTCATTTTTAAGTCACGTGTTTTAAGTGCAAACTGAATATTTCTCACGTTTTTGTTTTTCTTTGTTTCAATATTTTTTGCAAAACCATGTCAGGAGACTTTCACTCATTGCCAAGAATACATGCATTGTGTTCCTTTTTAATTCTTTTCCTTTTCTCAGTGGTTTGTGTTTTAATTTTGTGTCATTATTTCAGATGTTGTTACTTGTCTCAGTGACAGGAAAACACAAATACAAGCTCTGACAAGGAAAGAATAAGATTAGATAGAACTGACCTACTGGAAATTAGCAAGCGGGGGGACAATAGCTGAAAATGGGAAATAAACTGTATGCTCTGAGGAAGTTTTGTTTGCCATCTGTTGCCCATTAAAGTTATTTGTTTATCTGTATTATTCTATATTTTCATTTCTTCCCATATTTTAGCCATTTACAGTCATCACCGGAAACACCGCAGCTCATTCTTTCTCATTTTCTGCGTTAACGACTGAGGAGACTTTCCACATTTCTGTCGAGGTGTACAGCCTACACATTGATCGAGAAAGTCAGTATGACCTTATGTAACCCGGTATAGGTCAGATAACTGCTGTGTGTGGTATGCGTGAGTATTTGCATCCATATCTGGAGTGGTATGTGTGTGTGTGCTGTATGTGCCTGCACCACTGCATGCGTTGAGTGTCTGTGGCTGAACATATGAGATGGAGTCTGTATTAGCTGCAGTGCAGAGATGCTGCCAGCTCAGAGCACAACCACAGTATGTCTTATATGAGGCTCTTTGCTAATCATTAACTAAATTAGTGCACAGATGAGAGAAAGACGCTTATAAAAGACGACAGATTTTATGATCACACAGAAAAGCGCTGCAATAAAATAATAATAATAAAAAATCCTGCATCTCTTGATGAACAATGGATGGAGGGAGCTGCATGCTAAACGTTTCACTTTACATCCACGTAGTTTTACACCCACGGGTTGGGGGTTTATCTTGTTAATAAGCATATATGTGTTTCAAATTGGATTGATTGAAGCTGAAGTAGCGAGCTGCTGGATCATCCACCCTCAGACTGCAGCCTCCTGCTGCAGCTTGCTGCACTGAACCTTTCATGAGATGAAATTTTGTGCTTTGAACGGTCCTCCTTGCCAGCCAATAGCTGACAGGCACACTCTCTGCAGCCACCAATCCCGTTACTGTTGCTAGGGCTATAATAAGTATCCCACTATTAGCTGGCTCCTTGCTGCACTGCTCAGACACCTATTGCATCCTGTAAAAAAAATGAAAGCTCAAAGCACACAGGAGGTATTAGGATTCAGCACCAACCTATCTTCCAGCCTGTGTTTTAATACACTGCTACACTTTCAGAGACATTGGTGTCATCTTTATTAGTAAATGTTGGTGACATTACACACCCCAAAACACTGGGGCCTCCTGATGGTCATGTAATTCAATACCCAGCAGCTAAAAATTCAAGTTTGGGTTTTTCATGTCAAATTCAAGTAAAGTAAATCTACATTTCACATGAAATAACAAGCAATTCAAGCTAGTTAGTTACAATATACATATGTATCCAATTTAATCAGTTTATTTAATGGATGTAATCTAGATCCCTGGAGATGATGAAAGGTCACATTCACAGGATATGCACCAAACAGGAAAGTAATGCTGCCATGTTCCACTTACACAATAAACTGCTCTGTCAGATAACTTTCATTACATGAAGCACTTTCTTCCCAAAGGGGAGGCCTGGATGTTCAGGCACAAGTGACCATCAAGCATAATTATGTCACCTGAAGGCGAATGTCCTCTATATCACCACATCGATTTTCTCTTTTGCATCACTGGACAGCCACTGTGATGCAACTTTTGAACAGTCTTGTTGATAAGGTTTGAATAATATAAAAGTAACAATAAAAATCATGAGCTCTTTACAGTTTGTCGAAGGATNCCCTTTTTTTAGGTCAGGATGACGTATTCACGGGAGGGAAATGTAGGTTATGCATTGCATTTAAAGGAATAGTCTAACATTAGGATTGCAGCTTTCTTGCTGAGACTTGGAATTAATTGGTACCACTTTTAGATATGTTTGCCACTGCATGCAGCTGGTTGCTGTAGAAAGGTTTAGTCCGACAGTAACAATATTAACTTTTTGTAGCTATTTCAGTCAAATACAGTTTTGCAAATTCAATTTTCTCATGACAAAGTTGAACTCAACTCATACTTTTTTCTTCCTTTTATTTTACTTTGTACGTAGAGGTCTTAATAACAGTTGATCCACCACTTTCAACTGAAGTACTACAACAACCTAGATGGGTTACCATTTAATTAGACATTTGTGGTCCCCAGAGGATGAAACCTGACTTTGATTACCCTCTCATGTTCCCTCTAGCACCACTTGCTGGTTGACATGTTTTGCTTGTCGTGAAAAACCTTGGCAGTTAATTTGAGTCAACATGCAAAGGTAAGATGATAAACATGGTAAAAATCATATGTAGTAATCATCAACAGTACCAACTATAGCACAGTACAACTAAGTACAGCACTTACAGATCTGCTATCATAGCCAGAGTCTTAGTGTACTTTGAATTCAGTAGAGGCCCTAAGTTTTTTGTTTTTTTTTACATCTTTCTTGGTTATTTCTGGATTTTTAGTTTACCTGATTTTCTTTGGGCCAAGGTTTCAGATTCCATCCATCCCTTTTCTTCCACTTATCTGGGATTGGGTCGAGGAGGCAGGCATCTAAGTGGGATGTTCCAGACATTCCTCTTCCTAGCCATAGTTTCCAGCTCCTCCCTGGGGATCCAGATGCGTTCCAAGGCCAAATGAGATAATGCAGTCCCTCCAGCAAGTTCTGGGTCTAAGTCCAAGGTTTTCTGTACTTAATTCAGACAACATAAGTTCAGTGAATTATGTCAATAAACAATGTCACATGGTCTGTTGTTGTAGTAGAACCCCTTACAAATCCAACCTCAGACAAATAAACAACTACCCATGGGCAATTTATTCTACAGAATTTCTTGATTTAAAAATCTGCACCACTCAAGTATTCATTCATGTTGGGTCCTCTACTCTCCACCTTGTGGCCCTTCTCTTCTAGAGAGACTATATAAAACATATTAAATCATGAAAGCAATTATCTGTCAATCAGCTCTGAGATCCTGGTTGGTCTCTTGGTGGAGAGTCAATGGAAAGAAAATCTTTGCTCTGGGGACAAGAATGATGTGGCTAGTTTTGGGGCTGTGGGTCTTGCTGAATTGACTATACACTGATTGGCAGCAACAAGAGAACTTAAACCATTGTAACATTATAATAGAAATAACATTTTGGACAATCTTGAAACAGGATGGATAACTATTGATCGCTCTGGAATTCAGCCGAAACACAGCAGCTCAGGACCGATCAGGTAAAACCTTGGATTCATTCAATCACTGTTCTTTAGCACTGAGACCATGCAGACACGATGACACCATATTTCTGCAGCGCACACCCAACACAGACACTGATAAAACAGACACGTCAGAATTTTGAAAAGTTTGAGATCCGACACAACGTGATCTGCACCTCAAAGATGCTAAGAAGATAATAGCTGCACAGCTCCCGAAATATCAACCCATTAGAGAGAGGGAAGGAGTGAAAAAAAAAGAGACAGAGAGAAAGAGGGGACCGACGTAGAAGCAGAGAACGGAGACAGATCTATAAATAGGCCTCCCTGCAGCCTGTGAGTAGACAGTGAGTAGACCAGAGACATCAATGTGACAGCCTCTCCACTATAGACACTATCTGCCTCTGTATGGACCACAAGAGTTCATATCTTCAGTTACAGCCTGATTCATCAGTTTTTCCTCCAACTGAGCAAACACATGAAGTCAAATTACACAGGTAACACAAACAATCAACAGTGATATCTTCTGTTTTAAAATATGTTTTTCTTTTCTTTGCATTACGTTACGATAAGATTTAGACCACTGCCGACTCTTTCAGGCACAGAGACAGCTGTTATGCATGACTGCTGCAAAATGAATTATTCATGCTAACATTTAGACTTTTATATTATTTAACGAAAAGTGCCACAGCGTTCTGCTGAAGGTTTTAAGGGACTATTTTAAGGAGCACTTGTCCCAAAACATTGCAGGATACATTGCATGTGATCTGATAGAAAGCCTCGGCATCAGCTACAACAATGCTGTCACCATAGGTGAGTATTCAAACATTTTTAAACTAAAATTAAATCACCCCTCCAATTGCTCCCCCACCATCTCGTCTCACAGCTACATCACACTTCATCTTCTTCCAAGGCCTCCCCATGTTCCCTGACAAAATAACACAAGCATGTTCAAACTCAATTATTACATAAGATATTAGGACTTTTTACTTTATTGAGAAAACAAATGATCATTATATCAACTTCCTCTAAAATATACTTTCAGAGGATGTTTTCTCTCTCACTGAGTTTTTTCTTTTCATGCAACTTTATATTTCTACATTATAACATTTTTTTGAGTAGTAGTTCCTACTATCTAAGCTAAGTTTTTTAATTAACAGATCATAAAATAGGATCCCATTGTTAAAGTCTCGCAGACTATTAATTTACTAACAGCTTATGTAATGGTTTGCTGTTTTCCATTCAGATTCATTTAATAATTTTGATTTAGTTTGATTGATTTTCAGGCTGTTGGCTGGAGAAAAACTTCTTGAAGGTATTACCATTTTCTCATATTTTACAAACCGAACAATCACATTAATTAATGGAGAACATTTAGAAGATTAATCAATTAGGAAAATAAATAGTTTACATCATCCTACAGACAGTTTTGCATTAGCACTAATATAATGATATTACAGACACTGTGTACACTTGGAATGAAATACTTTTACAGTGGGGTATACTTACTTTTAGTGTCTCATAATGTTGAAGACATTGTGAAGCAATATGTGAAATTTAAGATGGTGAGACCAACTATTTTTACCAACAAATGTGCGTTAGACCTGTTCCAATATTACCGAATGGCTCTTATGATTTTGGGAAAGTCACTCGATCCTAAAGAATTCACATCCTCTCTGGATAGTCAAACAGTCGGAGTCAGCTCACTGTCAGAGGGGGTGACCTCTCCGTGTGACCTCCTCTGACAGAGCACTGACCGGGGGGGTTGATAGGGGGCGTCTGCAGCAGGGAGGCCTCACAGTGAACCAGTTATAATGTGCTAAATATAGCAGCATCTGTATTAGAAAGTTATTATTTGTTTCTTTTCAGCTCTGGTTTTTTTCTTAGGACTTTGCTCATAATCACGGATGTTGTCATACATGGATGAAATTATTTAATTTATATGAAATATGAAGTTTCTTTATTTGTTTGGTGATCTGTAAATGCTGGATTTGATAAATCCTTACAGAGCAGCT